GGAGATTAAAACAATTAGTTAAAAATAGGTTATTTGTAACAAAATAATGTTTACTTCCCTAAACTACCATATTTAATCATGCTCATTGGAACTGTCCCTTGGTGGAAACCCTTACAATAAATAGGGATACGTTAGAGAAAAATTTTAAGTTTGAAAGATAATATCAATGAAGGTCTTATATTCAAAACTAAATTTAACTTTTTATCTAGCTTTTATATTAAATATCAGAGCCGGTATGTTCTTTTTAGGCTTCATAGTTTAATCCCACCATGAAACCGCCTTAATCCATCCTTCCTTTGTTGATCTCTATCATATTCCAACATCTCTCGATGCGGATGATGGTCAGTATATAAATTGCTCAAGTAGTTCTTTATACTGCGGAAGCATACAAAACCTCACTTATCCCTTTTGGGGAGGAGAAAGAGAAAATTATTGTGGTCTTCCTGATTTCAACCTCACTTGCGAAGCCAATATCCCAATATTGCAATACCGCCCCTCAAATATCAGCTTCTTCAATTGAACTGGACTTTACAGACTCTTATAGTGGCTGGGGATGATCATTTTGACACTACCTGTCCAACTGATTACAAACACAACACATTTGATCAAATCAAACGGGCTTAAGGCTGTGCCTCTTTCCAATGCTCTTTAATGCTTCAGCCTGGATTGTATTTTAAGTTATTGCAGAAGTGTCACTATGCTGATATGAGAAGCAAACCCTGGTCAAACTGCAGCTGCTATAATGGATGTGACATAAACTATCTTAATCAAAACCCAGTCCATTGCTTCTAATGAGAAAAGAAATAAAGATAATATTGAGTCTGATTTTCGTTGGTTATTGACCTCAAAGGAAGTGATAAGCCTTTAAAAAATTCCGAAGGTCACATTTCCATTCCCTCCCTTGCCATCATAAATCATTTCTTATAGTTGAATGGGTCACTTACTTTCACCCAAACGGAAATTTTTCTCTCTCACTGCCGTTCATTTCTTCGTCAATGTCTTCCTTCTTCACCCCCCGTTTTCTTCTTTCATGCGTAACACTTGCGTTATTCCTTCAGACTCCTTCGTATGCGGTCACCGACGATTATTATGCAGCTTGCAGTACTCTGTACAATTGCGGGAAGATTAAAAACGTCGGGTTTCCTTTCTGGGGACAAGGCCGTCGAGAAAGTTGTGGCTATCCTGATTTGTATCTCAATTGTTCTGACGGTTTGACCTTCATAACAATCCAAAACGTCACATACTTGGTATTGGATGCCAAACCAGAGCAACAAATTCTGAGTATCGTTAGATTCGACTTGACACAAAGCTTATGCCCAAATCAGCTTCTCAACGCAAGCCTTGACCTTCAGTTGTTTGAGAACGTGCCGGAAACAAAAAATTTTACCCTTTTATATGGTTGTCCGTCAATCCCTTCACTAAACCCCCTACTATTTTATTGTCCCAAAGATGGGTTCCATAATCCATTCGCCTATCTACTGTCGGATAATATTCCTGAAATTTCTGCGTTATGCTCTACAAGCGTGGTTGTTCCTGTTAAAACTCCTACGTCATTGGTTGATCTTCAGGTTTTAGGCATAGTGCAAAAGTGGCTTAGTGATGGGTTTGAAATAAAATGGATAGCTGGAACTGTAGATTGTGATAAGTGTCAGATAAGAGGGGGAGTCTGTGGCTATGATTGGGATTCAAATAAGATTTCCTGCTATTACAGAAAAGGCAACTCAGCGTCTCAGCCTCAGTGGACTCCTCAGCCTCAGGGGACTTCAGGTACGTAACATGATGCCAACTGCTTTTTTTTTTTTTTTTTGGGTAACTGATGAATCTTTCCCTTTTCCTATCTGTTATATTTGACTTTTTATTAACTCCATGAATAATTGAAAATAAATCTGTCATTTCTGATATGTTATTTTCTATAAGTAGTATTATCTTTTCTTTTCTTATAACAAGGCAAAATGTTATAACGAAAGTAAAATGAGAGTTCTAAGTAGAAAAAAAAAAGCAAGACAGGAACATAAATGAGTAAGCCAGAAAAAGAGAAAATTGCTTAAAGTTCAGTTTTGTTTCTCACATGGTTTATCACTTGCTTTTGAATTGTGGACTCAGTTTTCAATAATAAAAAAAAAAAGAATTATGGACTCAGTTTTAGTATATTTTAATGAGTTAATGAGTTAAGGTGCAACTATATCTCAAAAATTTTTATTTAGGAGTGTTGGTTGCCTGAAAGCTTTTGTGATCACAAATTTGTTCGGAACGTTTAAAATCATACCAACGTTGTCCCTTATCATTAAAATATTAATAATCAATGTTACTATTTTAAATGTCAGTGTTAGTTTTATTAATGTACAAAAAATCGGACTGGTCACTAAACCGGTTGAAACAATAGGTTAAGGGTTAATGGGTCAGATCAGGATTGAATCGGATTCAAACCATTTATAATTAAAAATAAAATAATATTTAAGAATTACCATATTAAATAGTAAAAATATTACATATTATAAAAGAACTAATAAATTCATAAAAGAATGTGTCATATTAATATTTTATTTTTATGTAAAGGATTAAAGGAGGAGAGATCAGAGATCACGTGCTGCACTTTCAAAATAATAATAATTAAAAAACCTAAAATGATGCAAGACATGTCATAGCCTCATAGCTACAAATTAGCCATCATTGCTTCAACTTTCCTCTTTTCCTGTTGCACGAGTTTATCTTTCTAATTGCGTGAGTTTCATGCCCAGAGCCCATTGCTCATCTTCTCCGATCTAGCCTTTTGTATAGCTACCCTTACCTCTGTCAATATCTTCTCTAGAGCAGTGGACTTGGTTTTTTCATCTAGCTTCTTCACGTTAAGTACCGAGGCATTTTTCTTGTTGGAACCAATATGGAAATTCTTCATCAACTTTTGCTTGGAGTACTTGATTCACCGCTTTCTAGCTGCGTTGATCCTCATCGGAGTGCTTCTTTCTCCTTCTCTTCCCCCTCTCCTTTTCTTTTCCAGTGACTCACTGACTCCCTTTCTTTTTTTTGAGCTCTGCGTTTTTCTCTCTCCCACAAAGTGAATCGGGTAACCCACCAAACCTAACGATTATCCGGGTTTTGACCGGATTGCACCGGTTTAACCAGTTCACCACCGGTTTAAATTCTTTCCCGTTCAAGAGGTGAACCAGACCGAACAAATGGCCGGTTCACCGATTCCCAGTTTAAACCAGTCGGTCCGATCCAGTTTTTTTAACATTGAGTTTTATAACTGTATGCGGTAATATTATTATGGTTTTAAATTTTTAAGGCAAATTGCACTGAAAAAATCTTCTAGGTGCCTAATGCTCTTAAGTAACACCTTAATCCTATTTTAATTTCCGCATCATTTTTCTGCTACTCTTGCTTTGTTCAATCCCTAAACAGAGTCTCTGACTCTTTTAGTTTGTTGTCATTATCATGTTTGCATCATAATTTTTAATTTATTGTATTACATGCATTCTATATACAATCTATAAACTTCGTTCCTTGTAGGCCCCTTTTTACTGACTTATTGTCTGGATAAGGCACAGGGATTAAAAAATTGTCACAATGCTATCAACGAATTAGTCCTCGTTGCTATTTCAATAGAATGTTGCTAACAAAGTTTGTTTCTTTCATCACAATCATCCTTCTTTTAGTTTCATTTAATTTACTTTCTCAACATTTCTAGAATTCCTGGCAAAGTCACCAGACAGGGTTATTCCCATATCACTGCATGAATAATCCTTAATATAAGATATTGTTCGATTTTATTTTAGTCCTAAATATAAGACTCTAATCCACTTATATTTTTTTTTCAAGGTAGTTTTTCTAACAATGATAATTCTAGTCAATATATTTGATTAGTAAGGATATTTTAAAAAAGACAGCACATATTTATTACAAATAACTATTTAACTTATTTTTTTAATCTCCTCAATTATGATTAGGACTGGAGGTGGTATATTGGGAAAATATAATCCTTGTGCAAGAGAATGGAAAAGCCACTGTAAATGCGAATCTTTAAAATAAAATTTTCCAAAATGCTAATTTTGCATGGCAGTAGATGGGAATGCTCAATCCCGCCCTATGCTATTCCACAGTTTCCTTTTCTTTTTGTATATTTAATTAGTTAATTAAGACTGTGTCCAAATTATTTGTTTAATCAAAGTAAACGTCAATCTAGTTTTATTTGTTTATGCGCATGATGCAACGTGTGTGACTTGTATTATCCATGCGAATTGTCGTTTTGATTAAAATTCAGAGGAAACTTCAAAATCTGGACTTTTTCAAAGGCATTCATTTCCCACATTGAAAATTCACTAGTTTGGTCATCTCATCTATCTTCTGATTCTCTCATTGTTTCTTTCCCACATGATTGAAAACTCCTCTCAACCCATACTCCATCTTCTTTCCTTTGGTTCCTTTGTTGATCTCTGCCAATATCCCAACATCTCTTGGTGCGGATGATGGTCGGCGCATGAACTGCTCAAGTAGCTCTTTTGGTTGCGGCAGCATACAAACCATTTTAATTAAGATTCATTGACTTTTTTAACTTGATGACCATATCAAGGTTTCAAATTAAATCCTCTAACAAAGAATTTTTTTTTTTCCTTCTTTTTTTCACCTAGTATCCTGTTCCATTTCCTCTGTGTCTTTGAGTAGGTCCTTAAAGTCACATAGGACTTGACCCATTGAAGCTTCTTTCGAACCATATATTTTTATTTACTTTGAAGTCAAAGTTTCAAAATTATTGTGCATGATGCAATATATATGTTTCTTTCATCCATCCAAATTGTCCATCTGGTACAAATTTCCTGGAAACTTCAACTGTGGAAATTTTCAAAGGCCTTCGTTTTCAGAACTATCCTTGGCTGCATGCTAGATGAAAATGACGAAGTTCTAATTCATTAACTCATACAACGCGGCTCTACCAATCTCATCTCATATTCTTTTCACGCTGCATCTCGTTCTTCTCCATTATCTCATATTTTGTTTCCAACATGAAACCACCCCTCAATCCATCCTCCGTGTTCTTCCTTTTGGTTCCTTTGGTGATCTCTGTCCATATTTCATCTTCTATTGGTGTGGATGATGATTGGTATACAAACTGCTTAAGTACCACTTTTAGCTGCGGAAGCATACAAGACCTCACTTATCCATTCTGGGGAGGAGAGAGAGCAAATTATTGTGGTCTTCCTGATTTCAACCTCACTTGCGAAGCCAATATCCCAAAAATTACCATACGGTCCCTCAAATACCGTATTCTTCGTTTGGAATGGACTACACAGACTCTTGTAGTGGCTAGGGATGATTATTTTGACACTATTTGTCCAAATGATTACAAAAACAACACATTTGATCAAACATCGTTCAAGTATGTAGACGATGGGCTTACTAATGTGACCTTTCTCTACGATTGTGGTTCTTATAGTTCTCCCCCATTTCCATCAAATCCTTTCGATGCAAAGTGCAAGGAAGCTGATGATCATACAAATATAACAGTCTACTACCTTCTAGGACCATGGTATATAAGTGATTGCAAAAGTGTTATTATGCCGATATATGAAGCGAACCTTGGTCGAGTTCAAGCTGCTGTACAGGATGTATTACGAGATGGGTTTGGGTTGCAATGGATGGTAAATACCGAGGATTGCAACACATGCTCTCAATCTGGTGGCCAGTGCGGCTATGATGGACAATTCTCCTGCTTTTGTAAAGATGGACCCCAAAAAACTTCATGTCCTGGTAAAACGTCAGGTATAGAACCATGGATATGGAACATGTCCCTGTGATAAATGATTGATGCAGAACATAATTTATTTCTGTATTTTCTAGTATACATGCCCTGTTATCAAGTATGAACCCTGTTGATTCTTCTTCCCTTTAACACCATACAAGCCAAATAGGACGGGTCTGCTATTGCTTTGCAAGATAATTAAAATTTTAATGATGTTTTAGAGAGAGAGAGAGTGCGTGTGTGTAGAGAGAGAGAGAGAGTGAGAAAGAGATAAAACATTTCAGCTTCCCGGCAATTTGGCAGAATCAAGCCCCCGTTAAGGTTTTCACATCTTCCCTGCTATATAACGTTCTTTCTCTTCATTTAAATATATTTTTTTTCACATTCTTTTGTGTATCTCTGAAAAGTGCACATTTTTATAAAATAATTCCACAAGTAAATGTTGTAGCTACGATAGTTTAACAGGATAAGAAAAAATCTATGCTGCCGCAGAACAAATGTAATGTGATATAATGTCAAATTTGTAATAATTTTCTGCTGTCAAGCAAGCAGTAATTATTTGTTCGAAATCAATGTTCTATTTGCAGGATCAACTGGGAAGCTAGGTTCGCGAGTTGCTATAGGTAATAAACATAGTAACGCTCTCTTTTGATTGCTCCCACGACTAACATTTCAAAGATTTTAAGTTATTATGTTTTACAAATGTAGGCATTTCAACAGGAGTTGGTGGACTTGCTCTAATCTCGATTTTGATTATTTATATTTGCAAGAAGCGTTTCGGAACAGAAAATGGGAAATTATTCACAGAGAGAAGAGCATATCATGATCACAATGTTAAATCCTTCATGAGAAACTATGGCTCTTTGGCGCCAAAGAAATATGGTTATGCAGAAGTGAAAAGAATGACAAAATCATTTTCAAACAAATTGGGCGAAGGAGGGTATGGTGTTGTATACAAAGCCAGCCTACCTGATGGTTGTCCAGTGGCAGTTAAAGTAATAAGGGAATCTAAAGGAAGTGGAGAAGAATTTATAAATGAAGTTGCGAGCATCAGCAGAACCTCCCATGTCAACATAGTCACTCTCCTGGGATTTTGTCATGAAAGGAACAAAAGAGTGTTAATCTACGAATACCTGTCAAACGGTTCCTTGGATAATTTCATCTATCAGAGAGGGTCTTCAAACGCTCTCTGTGCTTTGGAGTGGAAGTTATTGTACCAGGTTGCTATTGGCATTGCTCGTGGACTGGAGTACTTGCATCGGGGTTGTAACACAAGAATTTTGCATCTTGATATCAAACCCCAAAACATTCTCTTGGATGAAGAATTTTCCCCAAAAATATCTGATTTTGGATTGGCTAAATTATGTCAAAAGAAGGAGAGTATTGTGTCAATACTAGGCACAAGAGGAACAATAGGGTTCATTGCACCAGAAATATTCAGTAGAGCATTTGGCGGTGTTTCTTACAAAGCAGATGTTTATAGCTATGGCATGTTGGTCCTTGAAATGGTCGGAGGAAGGAAGAACTACGACAGTGGAGGATCACAAGCTGATGAGCAGTATTTTCCGGATTGGATTTATAAGGATCTTGAACATGGTAAGCATCCAGCTAGTTCTTTAGTAATCACAGAGGAAGATGATGAGGTGGTAAAGAAGATGACTCTAGTGAGTCTATGGTGTGTTCAGACAAATCCATCAGATAGACCAGCTATGAGCAAAGTGGTAGAAATGTTAGAAGGACCCCTTCAATCCTTAACGGTTCCTCCAAAGCCATCCCTTGAATATCCTACAAAATCATCAGCAGTTATACAATTGTCAAATGCATCTTCTGAAGACATGATTCAGACAGTTTCAATAAGCAGTTGACTTGTATACTCTACCTACTGTCAAAGACAATTTAACTTTGAATTGTCTTGGAAGATTCATGGATAATTGCCAACTATTGCTTTCCTTTATGTTTGTTCATGCAAATATGTGGGTCAATGACCCTTGTTTGTTCATGCAAATATGTGGGTCAATGACCCTTGAATAAACGTTGATGCGAATATTTCAAAATTTTACACTAAGGCATCTGAAGGATGATCCGGTGGAATTCTTCAGTGTTTTGGCTCATCCATGAGGAAGCAAAAGTCAAATCCACTCAGCTGGTTGAAAATGTTATATATTTTGACTCGTGCATATCATAATGTGAAAGATAACGCGTATTGACTATTTTTTTTCAACATAAAAGACAAAACGATATTTAAACTATTATAATACTGAGATAGTGAGAGACTAAGGGCTGCAATTAGAAAACCTATTGGCAATACGTACGCTGTACTCCGGAACCTTTCTTCTTCCCTTCTTATCCTCTTCTTTTCTTTTCTTTTTTAACCGTTAGATTAATATTGTAATGGTTCAGATTTAAATCTTTTTAAAACTATTATTAAAATATTAAATTATAAAAATAAATAAATTATAAATTATAAACCATATTAAAATTTAATTTTAATGATTTGCAGTACATATTTTAATGGTTTAGATTTTAATTTTTTATAAACTATTTATAAAAAAGAAGGAAGAGAATAGGAAGGAAAGAGGAGAGATTACGATCTAGTAATCAGGTCCAGAATTTCTTCTCTCTCATTACTGTAGTTTCTGGCAGGGGGAAATTCTTACTTGCTAGGTGACTTAAATTAGCCAATCACAAGCTGAATCATTCCAATTTTCCAACTCGTGAGAATTAATTCCATCTTCACTATCTGCTTAGGTCTCCTGTGCAATTGAAGCCAAACCTCTGCCTTTGCGTTTTGTTTTTTATCATTTCGACTACCCCGTATCAAATTCCAATTTGCTTCTGTGCTGATTATGGGGCATCCTGCATTTCATTATTTGATTGTGCAAATCTCAAACACATTGGCTATCCTTTCTGGGGATTCGGAAAGACCAGACTATTGTGGCCACCCAAAATTTGAACTAGATTGCGATGGTGAATATGCAGAATCACCATCAAGTCTGAGAGCTATCGAGTTCTTAAAGTCAACCCCTCAGCCTCAGGGAACTTCAGGTACGTAACATGATGCCAACTGCGTTTTTTCTTTTTTGGGGTAACTGATGAATCTTTCCCTTTTCCTATCTATTATATTTGATTTTTTATTAAATCCACTAATAATTGCAAATAAATCTTTCATTTCTGATATGTTATTTTCTATAAGTAGTACTCTTCTAGTCCTAAATATAAGACCCTTATACACATTAGTATAAGAGTTGTGTATAAGAGTCTTATATCTAGAATCGAAGTAGTATTATCTTTTCTTTTTTTTTTAACGAGGCAAAATGTTATAACGAAAGTAAAATGAGAGTTCTAAGTACAAAAAGAAACAAGACAAGAACATAAATGAGTAAGCAAAAAACAGAGGGATTGTTTAAAGTTCAGTTTTGTATCTCACATGCAAAAGGTTGTCAAACTTACGAGTTTAAACAAACTCGTGATAATGATATAAACTGGGATTATGAACTCAGATAATAAATTCGTAAGAGTTTACTTTTATTAATAGATTGATATTAAAAGTATATAATCAAATTAATATATAAAAAATGAGAACAATTTCATTTAAATCCATTTTAAATTTAAATAATTAAAATTATACTCATCAATGTTCATAATTTATCACATTCAACAAAGAAATTTTTATAAAATTCATATATGAAGTCACTAAACATAATCAAATCAAAAAATTTAGCACGAGTTTAAGAATAAGTTAATACGATTTTGTGAGCTAAAAACGTAAAAACAATAAACTCGATAAATAAACTCGTAAGTTTACCGAGTTTATAATTATCACAAATTTAAAAGTGAATCGATACGATTTTGTTAGCTGAAAATGTAAAAACATTAAATTCGAAGTGTCAACTCGTCAGTTTGACAACAATGCTCATATGGTTGATACTAACTAGTTGCTAGATCTTTCTATTTTCCCTTTCTTTTGAATTGTGGACTCAGTTCTCAGTAAAAAAAAAAAAAAGAATTGTGAACTCAGTTTTAGTATCTTTTAATGAGTCAAAGTGCAAATATATTCTAAAAATTTTCACTCACGAGTGTTGGGTGCCCAAAAGCTTTTTCGAACACAAATTTATTCAAGAAATTTAAAATCATAGCAATATTATCCCTTATCATTAGAATTATTAATGCTTAATATTAATATTAATATTATTTTTTTTTGGGGCTAAAACATAGGCATCCTCTTATTGAAGGTAAGCCTATTCGAGATACTGTCAGATATTAAATGTGGGGACCTCTCCCTCTGAGGATTCGAATCTTAGTTCACTACATTGTGAGAGACTAGCCCTTTCTGTTAAACTCAATCCACATTGGTTAAGATTATTATTTTAACTGTACAAGCCAATATTATTATGATTTTAAATTTTTTGACAAACTGTATCCAAAAAACTTTTGGATGCCCAATACTCTTAAATAACACTTTAACCCTATTTTAATTTCCACGTCATTTTTCTGCTACTCTTGCTTTGTTCAATCCCTTAACAGAGTCTCTGACTATTTTAGTTTGTTGTCATTATCATAAAAATTTATTGTATTACATGCATTCCATGTACAATCTATCAACTTTGTTCCCCCCTTTTTACTGACTTGTTGTCTGGATAAAGCATACGGATTAAAAAATTGTTGCAATGCTATCAACGAATTAGTCCTCGTTACTACTTCAATAGAATATTGCTCACAAAGTTTGTTTCTTTCATCACAATCATCCTTCTTTAAGTTTCATTTAATCTACTTTTTCAACATTTCTGGAATTCCTGGCAAAGTCACCAGAGGGGTTTATCCCCATATGGCTGCATTAATTATATATTAGGAACATAGAATCCTTGTGCAAAAGGATGGAAAAGCCACTGTAAATGTAACTCTATAAAATCAAAATTTTCCAAAATGCTAATTTTGTATAGCAGTAGATGGGAATGCTCAATCCCGCCCTATGCGATTCCACAGTTTCCTTTTCTTTTTGCATATTTAATTCGCCAATTAAGACTGTGTCCAAATTATTTGTTCAATAAAAGTAAAGGTCAATCCAATTTAATTTGTTTATGTGCATGACGCAAAGTGTGTGACTTATATTATCTATCCGAATTGGCATTTTGATTAAAATTCAGAGGAAACTTCAAAATCTAAACTTTTCCAAAGGCATTCATTTCCCACATTGCAAATTCATCAGTTTGATCATCTCATCTATCTTCCTGATTCTCTCTCATTGTTTCTTTCCCACATGAAAACTCCCCTCAACCCATACTCCATGTTCTCTCTTTGGGTACCTTTGTTGATCTCTGTCAATATTCCAACATCTCTGGGTGCGGATGATGATTTGTATACAGACTGTTCAAGTAGCTCTTTTAGCTGCGGAAGCATACAAAACCTTACTTATCCATTTTGGGGAGGAGAAAGAGCAAATTATTGTGGTCTTCCTGATTTCAACCTCACTTGCGAAGCCAGTATCACAAAAATTACCATACGGTCCCTCAGATACCGGATTCGTCATTTGGAATGGACTGCACAGACTCTTGTAGTGGCCAGGGATGATTATTTTGACACTACCTGTCAAACTGATTACAAAAACAACACATTTGATCAAACACCGTTCAAGTATGTAGATGATGGGCTTACTAATGTGACCTTTGTCTGCGATTGTTCTAGTTCTCCTCCATTTCTGTCAAATAGTCAAGATACAAACTGCAAGGGAGCCGACGATGATACAAATATAACAGTCTACTACCATCCCGAACCATGGTATCTAAGCGATTGCAAAAGTGCTATACAGGATGTCTTACGAGATGGGTTTGGGTTGCAATGGATGGTAAATACTGAGGATTGCACCACATGATCTCAATCTGGTGGCCAGTGCGGCTATGATGGACAATTCTCTCGCTTCTGATGGAGCCCAAAAAACTTCATGTCCTGGTAAAACGTCAGGTATCTTCTTATTTTTTCAGAATCCCGTGTTTATTTGTAGCCTAGAACCATGGACATGGGACATAACCTTATCATAAATGTGTCATGGCACTAATTGAAGTCTCATTTTATGTCTGATACAAAACAGAACTTATTTCCTTAATGGATCATCATTCATGCCAATTACCAAAGAACGGCCTTGGAAGAGAGTGATTAGCACCTTTTAAAGAACATGAATGGCGTAGCAGATCTTTTAGTGCGGATTGCCTGGCTTGCCATGGGGTGTACTGTTATCAAGTATTAACCCTGTTGATTCTTCTTCCCTTTAACAACATAGCAGTCAAATAGGAAGGGTCTACAATTGCTTTGCAAGAGACGTAAAATTTTGATGATGTTTGACTTTTAGGATACACACTCACACACACACACACACACACAAACAGAGACAGCTTCCTGGCAATTTTGCAGAATCAAGGCCCCTTTAAGTTTTCCAACTTCATCATAATTAGGCAGCAATTAGAACACGCGGAAACGTCCCGCGTTCCAATTTTTGGCATCGTGCGAAGCAGAACCTCCTTTCTGTTCATTAAGCTATCACATCAGTGTGAGAGTCCGAATGCGATTTCAGTCCACGTCAGATTACCTAAAGAAGTATTCTGGTGTCATGGAGAACTAAATTTTTTCCCTAAAGATTTAAATGTCTCTTTCCAACACCGTCTAAATTTATAGTTGGAATCATTCCTCGAAAATTCAAGCGCAGGTGAATCATTCGGAAATCAGATTTGTAAAGTTTATCCCCAAAAAAAAAAAAAACCAATAAACGCGTCTCACTCTGACTTTTGGTGTGCATTTGCTCATTCATAACAAGCAAGAAAGTGGCTTAGAGTGGTTAAAGAATATTTTGGCATAACTAGGCTCGACTTTTTGACTGGACTCTTTGACCATGTCCAGTGATCCATGTTAAAAACGTTCTTTATCAGAGTTATGTTATATTCATTCCCTACTGAAAGCCCCAGGAAACTTCTTAGCCAGGTGACCTAAATTTGCATAGCTGGGGATCAGTACCTTTCAATAGTCCCTACGAAAATCTTTGCCAATCACAAGCTGAATCCTTCAAATATTCCAATTCATGTGAATTAATTCTATTTTCACCATCTGTTTAGATATTCTGTGCAATAGCCAAACCTCTGTGTCTTCCAACTTCTGTTTCTTTCTCCAGGATGCAACTTCGTTTCAGCGTCTCCGTTTCCTTTTTAATCATTTCGATTACCCTATATCGAATTCCAATTTGCTTCTGTGCTGAGTATGAGGCATCCTGCCGTTCTTCATTTGATTGTGCAAATCTCAAACACCTGGGCTATCCTTTCTGGGGATCGGAAAGACCAGACTATTGTGGCCACCCAAAATTTGAACTAGATTGCGATGGTGAATATGCAGAAATCACCATCAAGTCCGAGAGCTATCGAGTTCTTGAAGTCAATTATGCTGATTATAGTCTTAGAGTTGTGAGAACTGACTTCTGGAATAATACTTGTCCAATCTATTTGAGGAACAATTCCATAGATCTCACTTTCTTTAATTATAGTTTGGACTCTCGTGACCTGACACTATACTACGATTGTCCTTCCCCTCCATTTTCTCTCCCGTATATGCGCCCCACTCGGTTTAATTGCAGTATAAATAGCACCGAAATAGTTGACTATTTCCTTCTGGCGGGCGGAGGTTATGGGACCTCTGAAATCGAACAAACAGGGGCCTGCAGATCTACTATCATTGTTCCAATTTTGGGGTCACAAGCCAGAATTTTAGAGAAAGATTCAAGTGTGGAAAATATGAAGACTGCTATTCATAAAGGCTTTAAATTGGCATGGGAGGCAAATAATACTCTGTGCTCTGCTTGTCGAAACTCCGGTGGGCAATGCGGTTATAACACAAACTCAGGTGAATTCACTTGCTATTGCAAAGACGGAACTGTTCCATCTGCATGTGGATCAAGTAAGTACCAGTGTTCTAGTAATTCATACCAATATATGCAGTGCACAGATACAGGATAAAGAACTGCGACACGACAAAACATGTAATGTCGTGTAATTTGAAGAGTTGTCTCCGGACAAGTCTGTTTTTGACGTTCTGGTACTTCATATTTTGAAGTTTAAGAAATTAATGACTTCTGTGACCGTAGATTGATGAACATGCCTTGAGTTTCAATAGCTTATTTCAGATAATACTGGCTTATTCATATCCTCGTCAGTTATTGCTTTTAGATAGTTACAGACTTTGCCCACATCTCCCCTGCTCTTTTCTGCAGATAGGACCTCGATAGCCTTTAGCCAGGAAGCCAATCCAAAGGGAAAATTTAGTTTAGTTTATATATAACTCCATACAAAGTTGATTCATATTCTCCGATAATGATTCCTGACTTCTGCGACAACCATCTGATTGTGGTTCATCTCCAGACAAAGCTAGAAAAAGCCGCTTTACTTTTTTCTCTTCGGTTTACGTGGACACTGGCACTAATGAGACATGTTTATGCCAATTTACAATGAAACTCAACCTACATGTTTCTCCTTGACTGGCTTAATTTACTTAATTTCCATACACACCAACTTCATCTTAGAAAACATAAGAAGTCCTGTTTAGAGTATTTGCTGGCGGTAGGTAGACATTGTTAGGTAAGTGCCAGGCTATCATGGGTTGTTCACACCAGTTTTAAAATATAGGCCGCCTACTTTGACCCCAAGTCAACTTACATAATTACATTTAGGTCATATTTCCTCGTGATTAAACAATTGTCATTTTTCATGTGAGGATGTTCATTCTCAGGTCATCTCCGTCTAATTCCCACTTCTCTCATTCTTTAGGATCTGAAAAACCTTATAATTCCGATCCCGTGCATATAATTCATACCAATCTACAAAGCGTATCGTGATAAGATGTAATCTCATTTAGTGCGAAGGATATTTCATTCGCTTTCATTGTGTTGGCACTTGGCATATACGCCTTAAATTAATTGATCTTTTTGAAAACATACTAAAAAAATAGCTCTAAAATTTCAAAATCCCAAATCATGAATGACTACAAAAATGTATTGTTATTTGTTATTAAAATGAAGTAAACAAGATTGAGTTAAAATTTTGAAATTCAAAGATATTTTGTTTGGATTTTTCCTCACCTTCTTGTTTCAGAGTTCTCAAATTATAATTATACTCAGTTGTAACCTCTCTTTATGTTTTTTTTTTATTTATTCTAAACAACCTAATGACTCCATTTTTTATTTGGAATTATTATATAACTACCTCCAGATTCCGATTCTTAATATAAAAGCTAATTGTAGATTTAATTTGGTCTTAAATATAGTGATTGCACATGTTAAGAGATTTTCATTAAATGGTAATTTTATAATGCACATGATTAATAAGGATATTTTATATTAAAAAAAACACTCATTTGTTAGAAATAACTAACTTTCTTAACATTCAAAAATTAATTATCTAGCTTTTATATTAAGGAGCAAGGTAGTAATTTCTTGATTTCCAAAGATATCATGATAGACTCTTCTTAGCCCTATGGGTCTACATATAAATGATTATGTCTGTCACTTGTAAATTCCAAAATCATTGTGTCAATTTAAGGCTGAACACAGTTCTAATTGCAGGATCAACTAAGCTGGGTTGGCGACTTGCTATAGGTAATAAAGAGAGCAACTTTGATTTTGATAGCTTCCACAATTAGTATTTCAAAGATTTTAAGAAGTTATGTTCTACAAATGCAGCGATTTCAGCAGGAGTAGGTGGACTTGCTCTAATCTCGATTTTGATTATTTATATATTCAAAGAGAGAAGAGCAAATCATGATCACGATCTTCAATCCTTCATGAGAAACTGGGGCTCTTTGGCACCAAAGAAATACAGTTATTCAGAAGTGAAAAGAATGACAAAATCATTTTCAAACAAATTGGGCGAAGGAGGGTATGGCGTTGTATACAAAGCAAGCCTACCTGATGGTCGTCCTGTCGCAGTTAAAGTAATAAGGGAATCTAAAGGAAGTGGAGGAGAATTTATAAATGAAGTTGCAAGTATCAGCAGAACCTCCCATATCAACATAGTCACTCTCCTAGGATTTTGTTATGAAAGGAACAAAAGAGTATTAATCTATGAATACCTGTCAAACGGTTCCTTGGATAATTTCATCTATCAAAGAGGGTCTTCAAACGCTCTCTGTGCTTTGGAGTGGAAGGTATTGTACCAGGTTGCTATTGGCATTGCTCGTGGACTGGAGTACTTGCATCGGGGTTGTAACACAAGAATTTTGCATCTTGATATCAAACCCCAAAACATTCTCTTGGATGAAGAATTTTCCCCAAAAATATCCGATTTTGGATTGGCTAAATTATGTCAAAAGAAGGAGAGTATTGTGTCAATACTAGGCACAAGAGGAACAATAGGGTTCATTGCACCAGAAATATTCAGTAGAGCATTTGGCGGTGTTTCTCACAAAGCAGATGTTTATAGCTATGGCATGTTGGTCCTTGAAATGGTCGGAGGAAGGAAGAACTACGACAGTGGAGGATCACAAGCTGATGAGCAATATTTTCCAGATTGGATTTATAAGGATCTTGAGCATGGTAAGCATCCAGCTAGTTCTTTAGTAATCACAGAGGAAGATGATGAGGCGGTAAAGAAGATGACTTTAGTGAGTCTATGGTGTGTTCAGACAAATCCATCAGATAGACCAGCTATGAGTAAAGTGGTAGAAATGTTAGAAGGACCCCTTCAATCCTTAACGGTTCCTCCAAAGCCATCCCTTGAATATCCTACAAAATCATCAGCAGTTATACAATTGTCAAATGCATCTTCCGAAGACATGATTCATACAGTTTCAATAAGCAGTTGACTTGTCTACTCTACCTACTGCCAAAGACAATTTAACTTTGAATTGTCTTGGAAGATTCATGGATAATTGCTAACTATTGCTTTCCTTTATGTTTGTTCATGCAAGTATGTGGGTCAATGACCCTTGAATAAACGTTGATGCGAATATTTCAAAATTTTACGCTAAGGCATTTGAAGGATGATCTGGTGGAATTCTTCGGTGTTTTTGCTCGTCCGTGAAGAAGTAAAAGTCAAATCCACTCAGCTGGTTGAAAATATTATATATTTTGACTCGTGCATATCATAATGTGAAAGATAACACGTATTGACTTTTTTTTTTTTTTACATAAAAGACAAAATGATTTTTAAACTATTATAATAGAAAGATAGTGGGAGATCAAGGGCTGAAATTAGAAAACCTATTGGCAATACGTACGTTGTACTCCAGTTCAGAACCTCTCCTCTTCCCTTCCTATCCTCTTGCTTTTTTTTCTTTTTTAACTGTTAGATTAATATTTTAACGGTTCAGATTTAAATTTTTTTAAAACTATTATTAAAATATTAAATTATAAAAATAAATAAATTATAAATTATAAACTATATTAAAATTTAATTTTAATGATTTGCAAGTACACTAAATGTTTTTAAAATTTCTTTTATAAATAGTTTATAAAAAATTAAAATCTAAACTATTAAAATATATTAATTTAACAGTTGAAAAAAAAGAAGAGAAGAAGAGAAGGGAAGAGAATGGGAAGTGAAGAGGAGAAGTTCCGAACTGGTTGTACTCACTCCTTCTAATAATAAGGTCCAGAATTTCTCCTCTCTCATTACTGTAGTTTCTGGCAGGGGGAAATTCTTACTTGCTAGGTGACTTAAATTAGCCAATCACAAGCTGAATCCTTCCAATTTTCCAACTCATGAGAATTAATTCCATCTTCACTATCCGTTCAGGTCTACCGTGCAATTGAAGCCAAACCTCTGCCTTCCATCCTCTGTTTCTTTCTCGAGATGCAACTTCATTTCAGGCTCTGCGTTTTGTTTTTTATCATTTCGACTACCCTGTATCAAATTCCAATTTGCTTCTGTGCTGATTATGGGGCATCCTGCATTTCATCATTTGATTGTGCAAATCTCAAACACATTGGCTATCCTTTCTGGGGATTCGGAAAGACCAGACTATTGTGGCCACCCAAAATTTGAACTAGATTGAGATGGTGAATATGCAGAAATCACCATCAAGTCTGAGAGCTATCGAGTTCTTGAAGTCAACGCCTCAGCTTCAGGGAACTGCAGGTACGTAACATGATGCCAACTGCGTTTTTTTTTTTTTTGGTAACTGATGAATCTTTCCCTTTTCTTATCTTTTATATTTGATTTTTTTAATTAAATCCTTGAATAATTGCAAATAAATCTTTCATTTCTGATGTGTTATTTTCTATAAGTAGTACTATCTTTTCTTTTTTAATAACAAGGCAAAATTTTATAATGAAAGTAAAATAAGAGTTCTAAGTAGGAAAAAAAAACAAGACAGGAAGTCAGGAACATAAATGAGTAAGCCAAAAAAAGAGGGAATTGCTTAAAGTTCAGTTTTGTTTCTCACATGGTTTATACTAATTAGCTGCTGGGTCTTTCTATTTTCGCTTTCTTTTGAATTGTGGACTCAGTTTTCAGTGAAAAGAAAAAAAAAAAAAGAATTGTGGACTCAGTTTTAGTATATTTTAATGAGTTAAGGTGCAACTATATCTCAAAAATTTTCACTCAAGAGTGTTGGGTGCTTGAAAGCTTTTGTGGCCGCAAATCTGTCCGGAAAGTTTAAAATCATACCAATATTGTCCTTTATCATTAAAATATTAATGATCAATATCACTATTTTAAATATCAGCGTTAATCCTATAATTGTATGCGGTAATATTATTATGATTTTAAATTTTTAAGGCAAATTGCACTAAAAAAAAATCTTCTAGGTGCATAATGCTGTTAAGTAACACCTTAATCCTATTTTAATTTCCACATCATTTTTCTGCTACTCTTGCTTTGTTCAATCCCTAAACAGAATCACTGACTTTGTTCAATCCCCAAACGGAGTCTCTGACTCTTTTACCTTGTTGTCATCATCATGTTTGCATCATAATTTTTAATTTATTGTATTACATGCATTCTATATAGAATCTATAAACTTTGTTCCTTGTAGGCCCCTTTTCAGTGACTTATTGTCTGGATAAGGCATATGGATTAAAAA